AAGGTTGGTCCCTGTTGGTTAAATGAAGTTGTTGATCCATAGATGTGAGTTTAGTACTTGCTTTACCCAACCCACTCCCCCTTTTTTTGCTTGCTTTTTTTGAGAGTATCTCATGTAGCTTAGGTTGGCCTTACTTTCACTGGGTAGCTGAAGATGACCTTTGACCTCTTACATCCTCCTGCCTCTGCTGATCTGAGACAAAAAATGACAAGCCTTGTATCACATCCACTTTACTTCTATTTGCTCATTTAAAATTTCACAGTTGAAAAAAAAAAAGATTTCATAAAAAACTGGAGAAAAGCCACAATATTAACATGTTTTGAAAGAGAACTATGAATGTTCCCCCTGTTCTGAGTGATATACTTTTCATGCTACAATTATTATTTTTACAATAGAAAGTGTAAGACATACTCATTCCTATATACCATCTTTGATTTTAGGTAGTTTTTACTGTTTCTAAATAAGCAGACCAAGATTTTCCACAGTCTCACATGGTCAAACATAAAAGCAAAAAACACTTTTCATCTCTTTACTGGTTATAGAAAACCACTGTTTAGTGGTTTACTGGTTATAGAAAGCCACTGTAGGAGAACAAGAATGACAAGCAAGTAGAAACTAGCCAAGAGTAAGTAACAGGGCCACAACTATAGCAAACAAAAGACCAAGCTGAGAAAAACATCCACGGCACAGCTCCTCTTCATAGTCAGTTTTCAGTAAGGACTTTAAAAGTACAAAGTGGTCAGACTATTTTGGTGCTACTGAGGTGGAGACTGTGGACAGACAGAACTCCTAGGTTAGTAGATTCATGTGGTCCACCTCCAGCATTCTCTTGTGACATAGCTACTCCATGCCTCATGAAATGACAAAGTCCAGGAAGCTCGTTTAAGGTACACCCTCTGGATCACTGGTCAAAAGCTAGATAAAGGTATGAGGCCAGAGAACAAAGGAATTTCTTGGAAATGCTGGGTGTGGCAGCAGGCCTGTAATCCTGGCACTTGGAAGAATGATTTAGGAAGACCAAGAGTTTCAGGCTACTCTAGGTGATACAGTGAGTTCTAGGATACCATGGACTTCACAATGGTAGGTATCCTGTTTCAAAAAAAGGTAGGATGGTTTGAAAAATATAACTACTATCCACAACCTACCTCATAAGGTTATAGAAGTCTCTTCTTTTTTAAAAACAGTGCCCCACTATGCTGGCCTGTAGTTAACTGTGTAGACCAACCAGGCAGGCCTCAAAACTCAGTGATGTACCTGCTACTTCCTCCTGAGTGCTGGGATTAAAGGTCTGTGCCACCGCACTTGGCCTAGGAAATATTTTAATTATTTATTGGGGGGGGGCATATGTGCCATAGCAAGTACATGGAGGTCAGAAGGTAGCTTTGTGGAGGTTTTCTCTTTCCACCTTTATGGGGTTCGAGGCTTTTGAAGCAACCACCTTTACCTATGCTACCTCTACAGCCCCCACCTAAGAAATCTTAAGCATACCCCAATAGCATTCATTAGGTAAACTCCAAATACAAACATCAGCTCAGTAGAATGAAATGGGGTGGGGACACTAAAGAGGGACAAAATCTAGATTCTTTGTGCTAGTGCTAAACACATTCAAGGTAAGTCTGAAATAAAGTTCATTTGTTAAGGTCAAAAGAGAGGTTCTGAAGTACCATCTCAAACCTTCAAAAAACAGATACTTAAGAGTTGTACAAAAAAACACCAACTGTTAAAACCCAAGTTACCTTTCAAGTTCATAGCAACTTAATGAAGACTAGTTCCCATATTGCCTGTCTCCCAAGACCACACTTTCCAGGAAACCACCATGAGTTCTTGCTAATTTCTTCTCTTAATCAGCCTAAAATCATAAAACAATGGCCAAGTACTTCCTGCTCTTCAGGCAAATAGAATCTCTGGTTAATCTGAACCTGGCAAATCTCTATTTCGGGAAGTATTCATTAGCATTCTGCAACTAACCAATATTCCATATATGTTGTTTAAGGTTCCTTATTAATCAGTTTTTCTCTATATTTATGAAATGCTAAGGCAGCTTCAGTGCTTTTCTATAGGGCAGCAATCATCTTTTAAAGGTTTTTTTTTTTTAAGTTGTTACATTTAATGTGTGTGTGTGCGCGCCCACATGTGCTCAAGTGCACACAAACACATGAAGTAAGAGGACAATTTGTGAGAAGTCGGTTCTTCTTGTATGTGGGACTCAGGTTGTCAGGCTTGGTAGAAAGCACCTTTACAAGTCAAGCCAACAATCAAGTTCTTTATGTAGCTATATAAATAAACCATGTTTGAATAGCTCTGTATTCCATAAAAATGATGACCCAGTAACAGAATGTCCTTCCTTGGGCTGACAACCTTTTGGAATAAAAGGTGTCTCTAATCAAAATGACAACATGAAACTGGCGAGGAAGTAGAAAAGAGAATGCCTGAAATAGTTCTGGCTGAATGTGGAAGAAGGCAACACAAATTTGAAGGAAAGCAGGATGTACATTTATAAACTGTTTGTTTTGGTTTGAGACAGTCTATGTAGTCCAAGCTATACTGGAACTTGCTTTGTAGACTAGGCTGGCCTCGTTCACAGAGATCCTCCTGCCTCTGACCCTGAGGGTTAGGACTAGAGGTGTGAACCACAATGCCCAGCTGTAACTCTGTTTTAAATTGTAAAATGCCAAGATTCATGGGAGAAGCAGTAAGGAAATTATAACTTTGGTAAGCACATGTGGAGATAAACAGCAAAACTGAAATCTTTAAATTCTTCCTAGAAAATTTCAGCAAGAAAAAATGGTAAAAGTCTTCTTAACACAGTGACTGGTATCTTTATTTTCAGGCATTATGTAGTGTGCCTCAAGTTAACCTAAAACCTAGAACACAACTCTTGTGTCACTTGCAATGACATCTGAGTTGTTTCTTCACTTTGTTTAATGCCACAGAAGGTCAATTCTGTAAAAACAAGTGTTAATTGATGAACGATGCAGGAAAGGTAAAAGCATAAACAAGTTTTTCTGAACTTTCTCCCACATCATAAAGGTCCTATACCTCGTATAGGTGTGTAATTAATGTAACGACGTGATTTTTAGTCCTGATGTCCATGTCTTAGGAAAGGGGCCTTCATATGACTAACAAGTGATGCTCAACAGTTTAGTGACATTAGAACCTGGAACTGGAGCTTATCAGAAAGGGTAATAATTCTTTTAAGAGTGGAATTTCTCAACTTTTATAGTGTTCTACTTGTGAAATTTATTGGGTAGAGGGGACAGAGCTACTAACAGAAGAAACAGTGTTTTCCAAACTGTTCCCATGGACCTCTATATCCAGGTCAATTACAGAAATGCAGCCAAGTCTTTCCACCATTCTTTGCCTTCATTCTTCATGTCAAAAACTGACAGAAATAGAATGGTTCACATTGCTCATAAACAGACTGAGTGGTGGTGGTGGTTGCCGGATGGAGGGGGGATAGTATAGTCTTTAATCCCAGCCCCAGGGAAGCAGAAACAAAGTTCTGTGAATTCGAGGCCAGCCTGGTCTAAAATGTTACACCTTTAAAAGAGACAGACAAAAGACCCAACCCATCTCAGAAACACTGTAGCCACACAAATACTTGTGAGTTTACAGATTTAGGGATTAAAAAAAAAAAAAAAAAAGTCAGCAACAGCAGCTGCCAATGTACACCTTGACTGCATAACTGGTAATTTACATTCCAAGGGTAGTACTGAGCAGGGAGTAAAAGACCACGAAAAGGGACATGACCTCATTTAGGATCACCTACATTACAGCAGCCTAATTGGTTTCCCGGATACACACCCTTTTCCTTTCAATCTGTCTTGTTTTGCACCATTAGATTCCTATCTACAGTTCCACGTGCAAGAAATTTCTCAAGAAGTTTCAAAGACTCCCAACTGTCTATCCCATGAAGTTTAGATTCAACTTCTAGTCTTCTGAGGCTATTCACCTGTTCAGCTGTTTCACACGTACTTGTGGTTTTACTCTGCGAATCCTTTTTGGAGGGAGAAGAACCCAAGCCTATTTCAACCACTTATTCTCCAACTGGAATGCAAACCCTCTATCGTTACGGAAGTCACTAGTTCTCAAGATATCCCTTTAGGATCAGCAACCCAGCAAATGGCATGCGCATCCCAAGGTATTACCGAAATTACCATTCCAAACAGCTGTTCATATTCCCAGCTGCCCTTGGTGATGCGAGAGTCGTCGTTTGCAGTTCGGGAGTCTCTTGTAGGAAATGGGGAGAGGGTTCGACAGTTTCAAGCTATGGAAGGAAAAACTAAAGGAGGCAAAAGGTCTGTGCTCCCTTACTTTCTGCTCTTTCTTGGGAAGAATAGAGAAGGGAAGGAAGAGGAGCGGAGACCCCAAGAAATGAACTCTCGAGGAAGGTCAGAATAAACCCGTGCTCTCGAGGTAGGGCGTACGGGGGTCCTGGATAATGGAAAAAGAACAGTCATTCTCGAGAGAAGGACTGGTTACAAACAACGTGAAACAAAGGGGTTGGCAGATCGCAAAGTGAGAGGTTGGAATAGGAGAGATCCGGGAATCTCGGGAGGGAGAGCGGCACGAAGATGAGAAGGCGCACGACACGTCCCTCCGTGGAGCCGCCGAGGACGTGGTTGCTAAGAGGGACGAGACAGGTGCCGGTGAAGGTTGAGGAGGCAGCTTCGCTCCTAAAGGGCGCGGGGGCGGGGAGGTGTTTTGAGTGGGGTCGTGTCCCCAGGTGTGACACGCTCCCCAGGGCAGTGCTCTCCAGGAACGGAGATCCGGGCCACGCGAAAACCGTTGGGGCACTGGCATTTCCCAGCCCCAGCCTTGCTTCCCCACACACTCACCGCGTCTGCTCCAAACGCCACCGCTCCAGCTGCAGCTACCGGCCGGCGCAGCCGCACTGAGCGCGCGCCGCCCACGTGACCCGCAGGCTGTCTGCCCACGTGACCAGCAGAGACCACCCCCTTCCTCCTTTCCTCAAGCTCCTTCAGGTGGCGCTGTCTGGCCCCGCCCTCGGCAAGATGGCGGCTCCCGGGTTGGGTATGCCTGGTCTCCAGGTCCTGGGGAGGAGTTGGCGTCCCGGGAGGTTGTTCACTCCCGGCTCCAGGCCGTTTTGTTCCACTGCGACTTCCTCTAAGCCCCTGACTGCTCAGGCATTGGTGGAGAAGCTCCGAGCCCAGAAACAAGAGGAAAAGAAAAAGAAAGTGCCGGTGAGTCTGGAAAGACCACAACTCCCAAGAGGCAATGCTCTCGCGGCTTTCCCAGGTGCGGGGTATGGGAACTGCTTGTAAGTCAGTCTTGAGGACCTTCAGCGTGGTAGTCTGGATACCTCTGAGGGAAAAGGGCGTTACTGGCACAGTGTCTTCGTGGGCACTTTTGCTGTGGTCAGGCTCAGACCCAACACCGCGTGGTGATGCAGGCGAGACCTATGTATGGTCCTAAAGAATGCATGAGTCTAATTCCACAACACATCCATTCTCCGCACGAATTTTCACCCAAATCTCAGCATTCCCAGCCGAGATTCACTTCCCCAATAAGGCTTTTCCCACCCTTCTCTCTCCTTAGGTGCCTACAAACCCTCTTCAGCGGAGGGTGCAGGAACTAGTGCGATTCACACAACAGCTACAGCGAGTTCACCCCAATGTCCTTGCTAAGGAACTGAGGCGAGGGATTCTCCACCAGGACAAGGACCTTGTGGTCATTAATAAACCCTATGGTCTCCCTGTGCATGGTAAGAACACGTGGGCAAAGGAGAGGACTCCGCTGCTGCTACTTCCTCCTACAACCAGGGTCACCTCTGAAGCCTTTTGTGCGAAGCATTCCTGAATTCAAGTTAATTAAACCTTTGTATAATAGTATCCCGTGCATATGACTACTAGTGTCTGATCCCCACTTCCAAATATCTGACAGTAGGCTGTCTGCAGTCTCCCACAGGCATTGTTGCAGAGTAATACAAAAAGCTGTTTGCTGACAGTCTTATGGTTATTTTACATCAAAACGGTGAGAGAGAGAGAGAGAGCAAGAACTAGGTGCCAGTGTACAAGTGTCATCCCAGTTCTAGGAGAGGCTGAGGCAGGAGGATGGTGTTCAGATCAGTGTCAGCAACAGCAAAACCTCATTTCAAAATGAGAGAGGTAGACAAGTAAGAACAAGCAAAACTGGGAAAGAGGAAATAATATATAAGGGTGGGGAGTGGTGTATATTTGTGTGGTGGACTATACCTAACTAGAAATCCCAAGTGGCCGATACTGCTGAATGTAGTGATGATAGACAGCTGACGTGAATCAGAATTGATGGACAAAATACATTTGTCAAAGATTTGCAGGGGAAAATAAGTATTTTAGTTAAAAATATTTTAGTTGGAGTAAATAGCTACTTTGGTGGCAGTACCTTCTCTTGATTTCCTAACAGGTTCTTGCTTTACTATTCTTTGATGAGGTTTTTAGTTGTTGGAGGTTTTTTTTGTTTTTTGTTTTTTTTTTTAGCTATTTCATAGATAACAAAGCACAGTTGGAAAGATGGGCATCTAAGGTCAAATGGAGAGTTCAAAGAGTAAAATCCAGGGATGTCTGATCTCAGCCCATCGTCCTTGTTTAGGTTTGTGATGGTGGTTGTTGCTTTGAGTCGGTCTTTCTGTGTAGCCCTGGCTGTCCTGTAACTTCAAATTCACGGAGATCCACCTACCTCTGCCTCACCAGCATCTTAACCTCGATGCTGTTACACCTCAGTAGAGCTTCTCAGTCCCACAAAACCTGAAGAGAAAGCCACAGTATTTCCCAGACTTTATTTACTTGTCAGTGTTTGGGATGTTTGTTAAAATACAAGTTCTGCCTTCGTAGTCTAGATTGGGGGGCCTGGGGTTCATTTTATAGCAGAGATCTCTGGGCCTATCAATATTAGTATTTTCTGCCCATATTAGTACAATATTCATAGCACAATCATAGAAAATGGGAATAACTTATGCAGTAAGGATTGTTCTCAAGAAGAGTTTTTCAGTGAAGACTCCAGCGTCTGGCTCATTCTTTCGCAGGTGGCCCTGGAGTCCAGCTCTGCATCAGTGACGTACTACCCATCCTGGCAAAGATGCTTCATGGCCACAAGGCAGAACCTTTGCATCTGTGCCACCGTCTGGACAAAGAAACCACAGGTGTAATGATCTTGGCTTGGGAGAAGGACATGGCACATCAAGTCCAGGAGTTATTTAGAACCCGCCAGGTGGAGAAGAAGTACTGGTATGAAGCCCACTATTTTCAGAAGAGGTGGAATAAATTAAGGCATCTCTTTTTATCTGTCCGTCATTCTACAGGAACTACTGATAGAAGGCACTGTCCTAGAACTCATGAGGATATAAGGAGTATGTGGAACAGCTTGCTACTTACATTACTGAGTGATAAAATAGTGGTTCTCTGTATATATATGTGTGTGTGATTGTGTGTGTGCATGCACTTGTGTGTACATGTGGAAGTCAGAATAGGATGTCAGACTACTTCTTTCTCCGTCGTTCCCTTTTTTATTGAGATAGGGTATCTCACTGATTAACCAGCTGACCTTCAAGCTCTACCAGTCTCTGCCCCCTGAGCACTGGGGTTCAGGTGTGAACTGCTATACCTGGGCTTTGTATGGCTGCTAGGATTCCCAGCTCATGTCTTGCATGTGCAGCCAGCACTTTACCCATAGAGCCATAGCCTCAACCCCTTTTTTTAATTGTTTGGTTGGTTTTGATTCAAAGTCTTACTTTGAAACCTTGACTGGACTGGAACTCAGAGATATACCTGCTTCTGCTTCCCAAGTGCTGGGTAGAAAGGCCTGCACTGTGTGTGTGTGTGTGTGTGTGTGTGTGTGTGTGTGTGTGTGTGTGT